GGGGACATTTTTACCTATCAGTGTGGCGACACCTCGAGATTGGGATGTGAAGGAGGCGTAAAAGGTCTGTCCTTGCCATTGGCGTGTTAAGGCCAATTTCCACCAGATGCGTGTTGGTTGCGTCTCCGCTCCGGCACGGCAGCGGAGCCGATAGGATTCCATTCTAGTCAATGTGTGTGTTTCCACCGGCTGCGGCTGTGCTGTGTTCCGGCTCCGTCTCAGCTCCGGCACTCCGAAGCCCTCCGGAACAGATACGCAGGACTTCTATTTTTGCTGGACGCCGGAACACAACGCAGCAATTCAGCACAGAGCAGATTGTGCGGGGCAGGAAGTCGTGCACAGAAACATGATAAAACATCCGGTTAATTTTCAAAATAAAACACACAGTGTTCACGGCGGATCATATTTCCCTGCACTACACCTTAAAAACTACATAATGGGCAGAGGCAAGCCTGAAGTCAACAGGTCAGAGGTTTTCAGACGTCATTTCACCCCGTTGACACCATGGACGAGGAGATATTAATCATGGCAGTGCACCGAGATGTCTTCCGGCGGAGCTGCACCGCACCGCACAGCAAACGCAGCCGGTGGGTATTGATGGACGGCGGAGCACGCAGCGGATAACCAGCGCTGCCGTTCCGCAACGGACACGCATCCAGTGGAAATCCGGCGTTAGTCTAGCATGCTCAGCATCGGTTAGATGAGTCTCCTGTAGTAGAGCTATATCTATTTTATGATTCCTAAGGAAGTTAAGTACCTTTCTACGTTTTGACAAGTCATTAATGCCATTAGTATTCCATGTCAAATACTTAAAAGCTACCGCTGTCATTTTTAAAAATCTATTTCTCCTATAAGGCGACGTAAGATCCAGAAACAGTTAGGGCGATAAATCCAGGCTATTGTCTTATCTAAGAGATACATTTCTATGTCTTGTACGCAGAGTAAGAGTGTAGAAGAGAAAAACAAAAAGAGACTAAACGGGAAAAAAATCCTACTGAACCCCCCGATCCCCTCTCTTGCCCCACTCCCTCCCCAACTGGAAGTGCTGAACCTCTAATCTTCCTGACGTTTTTTTAATGCAGCTGTAATCTATATTGCTGCATCATTAAACGGTGCCTAACCTCCTTAAAAATTAAGTAATCTATTAGCCATTAAGCCAAGTTCACAACAGAAAATTACAACCATTTAAGGTGAGGGAACTATGTAAGCATATTATACTATGGAACAACTCCTCATAACAACACCGTGGAGGGCCTTCCAGGACTGGGGGACTTCAAACTACACAAACACACGTAAAACCACAGAGCCCAAAGCTTGTAGTTAACAGATCCTTTGGTTATTAAACTATTATTGGTAACTGAACAAACTGCCCTCTGGTCCATAAGACCCTGTGTAATGAAAACAAAGAGTGATGCTTATAATACCGAGTCATCCTATAGTTGCATTATAAATAATAACCATGGCCTCTGTAATCAGATGAGAGGAGAAAAAGGAAAGCGCTACGTGTACCCGATAGACTGCTCGTTAATTCGCTGTTATTATGTCCGAATATTGCTCTGCTTCGACCAGGTGAACAGATTACTATAAACGCGCCCTGTGCGTAAAGATGGGCCACAGCAGAGTTAGGAGTCAGTCTATCTCAAATGAGTGATATTTAAAGATGGTTGAAAATCATGTCAATGTAACGAGAAAATGAAAAATAAAAAATAACAATTAGAGCAAAATGATAGAGTGAGGTAATAAGGGCAGTGGTCTATTTGGTTTATCAGAGGAGGACCACGTTAACTGGCAGTTATAACAGCATAAAGCATGTCTACCTTAACTATAGTGATTCTGAACATTTTGTAAACATAATTTAAAGCACAAATGCCCCAACCCCCCTGTTCTTTTCTTTGAGTTTCCTTTTCAGTGGCGCAAAAGCTTTCCTCTTCTTGTACAGGGCTGTTGACATATCTCTGAATATCATTATGGTCGAGTTGCCATATTGTAGTGAACTTTTGTTCCGGGCCGCCTCGATGATCTTGACCGTGTCAGAGAAGCGGAGCAGCCGGATCACAATGGCGCGGGGTCTGGCGCCATCTGCTGGGCGTTGTTGCAGAGACCTGTGAGCACGCTCCATTTCAAAGATTTCCCCATCTAAGTCAAGCATCTTTGGTAGCCATTCTTGTATAAATGCCACTGTGTCCTTCCACTCCACTCCTTCTGGAAAGCCGACCAGCCTCAGGTTCTTCCTACGGGCTCGGTTCTCTTGGTCGTCCAGCTGTTCCCTCAGGTCACTCAGTTCGCCGTCCGTAGTTTTTTTGTAGTCATCCAGCTCACGCTGCATGGCAGCTAGCGAGTCATCAAACTCACATTGCTTCCCCTCGATGCTCTTTACTCTGTGTCCAATAGCTTCGTTGTCTTTGGCGATCTTTTCCATCGTTTCAGAAAGCCTATTTAAACGTCCTTCAATCATGGACTCGATCCTCTTTATTCCTTTCTCCATCTCAGAAATGAACCACTGAGGCGCGTGCTGTGGAGGCGGCGGAGGCTGGTTAGCTAGCCCGCCATCTCTGCTGCTAGCACCCGGTGATGGCACTTACTTGTTCTTCTCATCTTTATTTCCGTAGTTCTTTTTCGGTGGCATAGTCTCGTTTTCAGTGTTTCCACTTATTAAAGCACGGTTGGCGTCGAGTTGACTTGGTGAAAAATCAGCAGAAGGCTAATTTCAGTGAGCTAGTAAGCGGAGCACGGCACCATGCGTCTGTTCCCTATGCTTCCATAACCGGAAAATCTGTGAAGATTATCTTGCTTGATCAAAACATGTTGGTCATAAACTTTTGTTTGCCATGGAGCTTTTTTCTACAATAATCTAAAATTCAATGGACAAATCCCATAGGCTTTTTGACAAGGGAACCTGCAGTGCTAACTTCCACACTGGCCCACGCCATCGCTGAAGCACTCTTGGCCCACCCCCAACCTCAGGTTTGAATAATTCCCCTGCCCTCCCCTACTGAATGTTTGGAAGGTGTGTTTGCTGGCCCTTTTATTAGCATTTTGTTTTTGTGATTGATCATTTTGGAATATTATTGACAAAGAATTACTGATGGATGGAACTGTATCTTGTGACTCTTTGTATAATGAACCTGAATGCCTCATTAGTTATTGATCTGAGGTAACATCAGTCCTGAGGTGAAATTCCTATGCTGGTGTTGTCAGCTTGTTTCGATTAGTGCCCTCCAACTTAACCATTCGCCATCGCCACACATGCAGATGGGGAGTTGAGCATGCTGTCGGCATGCTGTGTTGAACAAATTATATACTGGGTTGTATTGTCAGTTGTGTTTAATGCCTGTAAATGTGAAATATCGCATTATGTCAAATTGTGAAACTGTGTAATATTCTGGTTTTGCACCTGCTGAAAGTAGCTCGATGTTGCCTCATGTTACCTCTCCAGCTCTGGGCTTCTGAACCATAATTGTAAGACTTGTGGATCCTTTAGGCTAGTTTAATTTACTTTAGGTTGGCTCCTAGCTGGTAAGTAGCTTTTAACAGTCTGGACCAACTTATTATAAATGGTGAAGAACAATAGACAGACATCGCAGTGATGCTGCATGAACAGGTACTTTAGTTCCCTCTGGTGGCTATGAACTCAACACACAGCCTTTCAATAATCTGCTGCAACCTGTCTACACACCTTATGCCTTTCTCCAGCACCGGCACTGCACTTAAACAAAATGTGGGAATGGGTCTGGCTATGCGAGACTACTTTGTGGCTTACTACTGTAACTTAGAGAAGAAACCTTGTACGTGACTGACAAATATAATTATTATAGTCATTATTTATTGTTCCTCCCTCAAACCCTCCAGAGTCCAAGTTACTTTGCTTCATTTTTGCTGGCTTTCAATGCTTTCATATTTGATTTCCTTTTTTTCACTTTTTAAACTTTCCTTGCCCACATGCTCGGTGTCCCTTTTTTTTTTAGCACACTCAAAGCTGGCAGCAACTCAAAATACAACTTAATTGACACAGGTGCCTAAATGCACTAATCTTTAGTGGTAATCATTAAAATATTTATGAGTTTTACAAAATGTCTTTAAAATGTATATATGAATAAAGTTATGCCACTGTAAATGAAATTGTTATTATTAAACATCAAAACATTATCATTGTGTCATTTTTCCTGCTTACTGTTGGTGGCAGTGTGTACCCAGCTGGCAGTGTTAGAAATGTAGGAGGGGTTGTAGCCGATTCCGTGGTCTGTCCAGGGACCATGGTCTCTGGCACGGACCAGTGGTCACCACCACTAGGGGCGCTAAAGTTACTGGTCCTGACCAGCTGCACTGTGGTCCCTGTGGTCTGTGAAGTAACTTTAGTCTTTTCTCCCTTTTCAAGTCATTTTGGCAGCACTGTTAGCTGGATAAATGTCAAAAATCATAATATTTTGTCTATAAAATAAACTTGATCAGAATTATTATGATTAATATTGTTATTATTATTGATTATAAAGATCCCTGTGGTCAGGACCAGCTGGTCTCTGGCACAGACAAGTGGTCCCTACCACTAGGGGAGCTAAAGTTACTGGTCCTGACCAGATGCTCTGTGATCTGTTCTGTTGTTTGGACCAGTTGAGTGATCTGTGGAGTGTTTGTTTTTAATACAAATTTTCCCTTTTCTTACTGTGTTAGCAGAATAGCCTAAATGTGAGAAGCCATAATCATTTGTCTATCCAATGTTATCACTATTAATAGAGGTCATAATAAGAATGATTAAATTATTAGTCATAGTTGTATGAGTAATACTATCGATTATGCAGGTCTGTGTCTTCCTGACTGGTTTAAACTTTACCAATGTGTTGCATTTTAAAAGCTTGTGACATTACCCTTTGTATCAAATCTTGATCTAGAAACTAATGTCAAATAAATGTAGTGGAGGAAAAAAATGTAGAGTTGAGTGACAAAGTGTCACAACCTGGCTCTTTGGGCCATGACAGGACGGGAGACACACTGAATTAAGGAGGTGTAACAAAGTAGATTTATTAACAAAAGGAACAAAATGTGAAACAAGGAAAATAATGAATAAATGGGATGTGAACATCAGTACTATCAGTAGTGTACGATGTGCATGTGTGTAAGATGTAATGTATGTTGTATGAATGCATGAACTGAGCATAAGGAACTAAACTGCAGCTGCCACATCACCCCATGGGACGTCTGCTGGAGAAGAGAGAGAGACAATGAATGAATCATGGGTTTTATAATCTCAGGACACTGGGCCCAGATGCCCCTGATACACCAAAAATCCTACCAAAAACCCAAGTCACATCAGGAGGCTGCTGCCTCAACAGCAGGGGTCATCACACAAAGGAACATCAAATGGAAATACAAAAATGTAAAAGTTTAATTAAAAATTCAACACAAGTAGCCCACAGTACAGTAACAAAAGTAACAGTCGAATCTTGATTGATCCAGCACCTGATCACTCGATGGTCGTTCTGAGGATTTTCTTGGCATAAAATCTTGAAAAACCTTCTAGACTCACCAGGATGTCAATTGTGGTCTGCATAAAAGAAAACATTTTAGTTCAGGACAACACAGGGGGAAAAAAAAAAACACAAGGAAGAGGACACATTAACAGCTTTATTAATGTTAAATTAACAGATGTAATTATATTTATGGGTGATCAAGTAACCGTAAGCTCAAGCTCAATTCTGTTAGAATGGTAGAACTGTTACAGTAATGGATACCTTTATGTCTTTGTTCAACTAAAATTGGAACTTACCTCTGGCACCATGACATCAATGACAAAATCAATGTTTTTGAGGAGGCTGTAATCCAATGACAGCGTTGGCTTTATCAGATTAATGAGGTCATTCATCTGTTGGACATAGTAAGGGTAAATAAACAGTCGTTCATACACTGACAAAATGACCACTTTTAAAAAATTACTTTAAAAAAATATTACTTACGTGTTTCTCATTGAAACATATTGGCTTTCCGTTAAGAATTGTTTTCAGGGCACGGTTTCCCCCAGGGTTTTGCCAAAGGAACATCCTGTTGGATTTCCTCTCCCCACTGTCGAGCATTTCTTTCAGTTCCTTTAAAAATTACATTGTTAAACACTGGTTCAACATTTACTGTTTATAATTAACCAGAATAAACAACAAAAACCTTTATTCTTCCTTTGGAAATGAGGCCCTCAACGCCTTTGTTCTTGAGGCAGGTCAAAGTACTGCAAAGTACATAAAAACAAATAAGCAGCAATAAAGTACAGTGCAATATGTCACATTTGTCAAAGAATGGTAGTTGTATTCTTTGTTCATTATTATTAATTTATAAGTTACATTTCATGACGGTTGAATGGTTCAGATGGTTAAAACATGCAGTTAAAAGCAAGGTTAGGTTCAATTCAAGCACATGATTTCATGTTGTTTGATATTTAGACCAAGAGGAGGCATTTATGTTGTGTACTAAGTGATAGAGGAAGATGGAGAATGTTTATGTACTGCCGTTTGACAGTATATATATATATATAAAAAAAAAAACTATAGAAGACCCCATGATGTCCTGCTTCAGCTTTTATAGAAGATGCAGCTAAATTCCCACAGCAGTTACTGTAATGCATATTCAGGTGCTTAATTAATTAAATTAGCAGGAGAAGGATGAAGATTGGTCAAACCTGGTGAAGGCATATGGCTCAGGCAGGTCACAACCACATGTGAAAATGCCTGACTGACTGGGCTCATAACAGGCACAGTCTTTGTGCAGCCAGCCATTGCATGTCTCGCATTTCACCCAGTCCTCCTTCTGCACATGTGGATACAACTGCCTACAATTTCAAAAAGATATCACAGCAGAGATCCAGATGCTACATTGATCCTACACTACCAACATTTGAACTGTACAAAGCTGTGAATCTGGTACTTGGTGCATTGTTTTAAACTCTGATACTACTGTACCTTGACTGCTCTTTTCCAGTGCTGTCGTAGTAATTGCAGGCATGAATTGCCTCTGCCATGCAAGACTCACGCACTTTCTTCCCCTACAAAAAAGAACATTTGAACTGTTAAAGATTTACATGCAACTTATTTCATAGCCTGCCAATATTATCAGTTGCCTAGTGTCTTATGGTTTTTACATCACCTTAGGAACAGAATCGGCAATCAAGCAGGCTGCATGATACATCCTGAGATGCCCCAACTGGACTTGGTTCAAGGGTTCATTCATCATGTCTGTCCCTTTGATATCAAGCTCAGCTGCCTTGAGTGAGTGACATAACAACCAATGTTTGTACAACATGAAGTTAATTTATGTAATAAACCAAGTATACTATCTATTAAAACAATGGTAATTCCTTTAATAATTTGACAATACCAAGAAGGGGTAGGATAAATCTTTTTTTTCCTTTTACAAAACAGTACTTACCGTGCAGACGAAGACACCACAGTTGACGCCATCTCTCTGTCTCCACTGGTCTGGATATGAAATGGACCATTCCTTCAGCCTCCATATGTTCTGAAATGCAAGGCTAAAAACAGATGTATCATTTAGTGTTATGTTTTTCATATAATGTCACAGTTTATTAGAATAAATGTGTTTAAATACCTTAGAATGCCCATATCAGGTGGAGAAATCAAGGTGTACTTTTCAAGGGAATCGTAGACCCTGATTTCTTTTTTGAGCCATCAAATACCTGTCAACACAATGGCCAGTGTAAGTATCGTGCAGTCCACTACATGCAAATAAATATGACTGAAGCCTTTTTATGATTATCCACGGTGGCTCAGTGGGCTACGGGCATGTCCCCGAAAAGTCTTAAGAAAAAGCCCTCTCAATTTCACAGCAGTACTCACCCACAGAATGAAATGATTGCCAGTCTCTGGAGTTTGATGGCCAAGGACTCATGGAAACAGAACCTTTGAGTCTTGCTTTAAGCCCTTGAATAAAAAATATTTAATACCAAATTACAGCTGCAGACTAAGGAATGATGTTTTCTTCTGTTACACTGTCACAATTATAAAGTTATTAGTTATAATAAATTAGTGATAATAAATTACCTCTTAGATAAAGCTAAAGAATATGCAAATAAAACACATGCATACCTGGATGCAATGCAAATGGCAGGAGCTGATTGATTCCCCATTGATCCAGCTCCTCCACCAAGCCGTGAAATGAAATGTTTGCAAAGCAAACACCTGTTAAAAGAGCAATGGCTTTTGGGTAGTGGCACACTGTTTCTGTATGCACTATCCATAACAAAGACAAATTACCATAAAACTTACATTCTCCAGAGGTCTTGTCAGCTGGAGAACTCTTGCATTCACTGCCTGTAAAGGAACAACTACAGCTGTCACTATGTAAAACTTTGGTGTAATGATACATCACATGCATTCATGTCTACTTACATCATCTGTAAGCCATGGATACGAGGTGTAGAGGTCATCCTCTAGGAGAGATTGTGGGCAAATACTAAAAGGTCAGCCACATAAACTAATGCCCGTTCCACCTGAACAATGGCATAGTCTGTTGCTGGTGCCTTGTAGAGCTCAAGCAGTTTTGCCTTTTTTGAGGGAGGGGGGCAAAGATTAAAGCAGAAATCACTGTTATACATCAAGATTACAAATGCATTACATTTGATGTATAAATCCTAAGTAACAAGGCCTGTTCCATTAGCATCAGGTTGTTGAGGGTTAACATCCCATCCTAGCAGGAATCACCTCTACAATATTAAATAAAGTCATATTTAAAGTCTGATAAAATAGATTATCTTGTTCTTCAGATAATTTATGTTCATTTTAAGGAATGAATTTATGGGTTTATCGACATTTTTTTTGTAATTTGTAGGTTTGCATTTGTCACAGGCCGATTACAGGCAAATGCTCAGCAACTCAATGGATTGGACTATATGCCCAGCAGTCCACACATGTAAGATATGATTTGAAAATTTAACATACAAAAATAAAATTTTAGAACACATTTTTTTAATTACCTTGTGCTCTTCCTGGATTAGGAACTGCCCTATTGAGAAGCCCATTTTGGCCACAATTTGCTCATCGTGCATTTCAACATCCACATTTCCTCCTGGGGTAGACACCACTGAAGATATAAGAAACACAACATTACCACAATTTAATATGAACATTCATATTGTCACGATGTGGAGCGGTCTGGACCCAAATGGGGGGGAAAATTGACTGGAAGACAGGGGAAAGACAAGGACAACAACAACAAAAAAAAAAGGAAATAAATGATACAAGACACGCACACCATGACACGTATGTGCTTTATGACAATTTGTCACACAATTACCTGTACTTGTAAGCCTCAACCGTCCATCTGGCCCAATTTCAAGATTGTCCTTGGTTTGTGTCTCCATTTTTTTGATGAATTTTTGATTTATGTTGTTGTGCAAATGGAAGACCAACCTTGTACAAAACAAGAAATGTGTCTCCTTCATTTGGCAGAGGAAGTACCGGTCAAAGGACAGCTCTCTGTTTTTTTGTTCTGCCTCTGAGGAATTGACAAAACTGCACAAATCAGGGACAAGGTTGAGGCTGTGGAGTACTTCCTCCGGCTGGGTTTGATTTTTTGATGGAAGCGGTCATACAAAGAGTACCGCTCAGCAGAGCCTGTGATGGGATGTGGCCTTTGCAAATGTTCTTTAGAATTTACATCATTTCGAGGGTTCGTGTTATTCCTCCTGTACAAAAGATTTTTCATCCAAGGAAGATTTACTTTAAGACTTTTATCTTGTGCTGCCTGTATGTTTTCACTTGTAGGCGAGCAAAGTCTTCCATCATTTGGATTAAAAAATCTCTGCTTTGTCCTGTTGTTGGTGTGTCTTGCAACACGACCAGCAATGTCAGAAATGTAAATGGTTGGTGGTTTTGCAAAGCTTAACAGACCATCTGCGTGGTCCCTCGCACTTTCCTGTCACAGAAGTGGGGAGCAGTAATAAACAACTGAGTGAGAGCAGCCCATGTGCAGTACACCACCTAGATGGACACAAATGACGATAACTGATGTTACTAATAGAAGAACAAGTATTTGAATTTGCAAAACATTGTCACAGTCATATTCAGTTGTTGTTAAACTGTATACTTGCAGGTGAAGTCAAAGGAAAAACACAAAAAGACACTACATAAAGATGCAATATCAAAATCTGTTATAGTGATAACCACATTTCCATTAAATAAAGTAACACAGGTGGATGTAAAAAATGAGTATATATTTATGTCCTTACCCCCTGTTTTCTGCAGCTTAGCGAACATTTTTGGGTAAACATCCTTGTAGAGGAGCATCTCCTCAAGTCGGTTGATCAAATCAGTCTCAGATCCCTCAGTGGGAACACCCAGCTCAGAGCAAGCTTTAATTAGCTCACTCTTGCTTGCCTGTAGGTGGCATAAGCACAGTAGAATTTCGGAGGTTAATATGAACGCTACCTGCAGCAGCACAAAGCAATTTGTAAGAGAAAATAAGCGGAATAAATTACCACTGATTTCAATATATAAATCACCTTCTTTGATTCAATCAACCGAAGAAGCTCATCCTCATTGAAGCGTCGATCTTTTTGCGTTTTGGGGTCTGTTGTTGCCTTACTGTTGAAACCTTTCAGGATCTCAGTCTTCGGTAGCACATCCCCAACTCTAGTAGCTGGTCCCATCCACGGCACAAAAGAGGAGTGTGTCAACTCCGCTGAATACGGGTTGTGGGCTTTCAACTCTTAAACAGAAGGAAAGATATGTTTCATAATTTAATAATATCATTACTTTCATTTTTTTCAATGTCACATTCCTCGTTCTTTACTGCTAGGTCGCGATTTGAAATGTAGTACAATAACAAACCTTCACAGATGCCACTGGCTATAATTTCTTTTTCCAGTCAGTCCCACTTTGCAGTGATGTTGACTGAAAGATCTTCATCCTTGACTTCTTTGATAGCTGGCCTCTTCAGTGTGCTCACTAGTTATAGAAGAGGAGTAGTAGTTAAAAATAAATATAAAAGTAAGGTCATACAATTTTCCAGGAATACTTTTGAAATGAGCTGAATTGTCTAAACTGATTTTTAGCCCAATTACTTTTAAAGAAAGAGGTCATTATAGTGTTTAACCCTTCACCCAACAATACATATGTATAAAGATCACTCTGTTGATATTTAGAGCATCAAACAGATTGATACTCTCACTCTGAGTTCCATAGTAACAGCTATGAGTGGAAAATACATTTCGACAAACCTCAAAAAATCTTAGATAAATTATGTATTTTTTAGCCCTCTGTGTGTACTACTAAGTACTCACATACCTGGCACATCAAAAGACAGCTTCCAGTTGGCATCTGCTATTAGCACTGGGGGATGGTGGCCACATTTGTAGCAAAAGAAATCATACTCATAAGCAGTAAGTGCAGAGTAGTGAAAAAATGCCCTCCGGATGGTGTTGTGGTGGATTGTCAAATTCAGCTGATGCTCCATAGCACTGATGAATCTTCCAATAGCTGTGTGGGTCTGTTAAAAGATCAAGCAATTAGTTGTTCTATACTTACTGTACAAATCAGTGCTATTTTATGTTTCTAATTGAATGAAAAAAGGACCATATTACCCTCAGTAAATTTGTCATGAAAGAACATAACTGAAGGGTCAGAAACACTTTGTTATTGTAATTGTGGAAGCCTGTCAAGTAATTCTGAAATCTGACAGGTGTTCTGCAGAGAGGGCACGTTTTGATGTAGACATGGACACCTAAAAGGGAAACATAAATTGTTACAGGATATAGTGGATTTGTTTGTATATATGAACCCTACTTCTATCAACTGGAGTGCCTGCAGAGACCAAAGGTATACTATTAGTCAATTCAAAAAATATAAAAACAGTATTTCAGCAGACAAACCGTTTTGAACAGTAAGAATGCCATAAACTGTTGCGTTTTTGGTGACACATTTCTCCTCGGACAAGTCTGGTGGTGTAGGACCTGGACAGTGCGGGCACTTGGTTTCCTCAGGTGAGAACTTCTGTGGGATGTTTGCTGCGTTATTTTGCAACTCCGCCGGTAGTTTGGGAGGCAGTCTTTTGCAGTTGCACAAGTACTCTACAATTTTTTTAATCTGTTCTGAACCAATTTGATTTTCACTTTCAAAATGGCATGGCTCCATATCTTCACTGTACAGATCGTTGTCAGTGTCACTACTGAAGTCCACGTCCCTGTCCCTGTCACGGTCACGTAGGAGGTGTCGTCTTTCCTGGAAGGTCCAACACATTGAGAGATAAATGTGGACACACATTCTTCTCTTTGTGCCTTTGCAGCGACATGTCCACTTTCTACTTCCAGTGTCACTCTTGTTCTGCCCAAACGACACCAACTGTCCACTTTTGATGTGTACACAGAAAAGTTGACTTTACTGCCTGAATATCCGTGTTCATCAAAAAACACAGGATATACACATGGAGTCCCATCCTCTGTGGCTCTCTCATTTAGGTGTGTGCATTCCTGTTTAGTAGTGCTGGAAATCAGCCCCTTTTCAAACATCTCTTCAATTACAGTAGTCTGCAGCAGAGGAGGTGGCTGGTGGTACTTGAAATGCTTTACTCTGTCCAAATGTATGCATTCTCTTCCCATGGCCATGGCCATAAACTCCCTGCAGCTTGGTACTTCGCAGTCAAGGACCTGCCTAGTAAAGGACTTGGACACATGAATTATGGTCCTTGGTCCACACTTGTCCTGTGCTGTAACAAAAATCCCTCTCTCTTCATCCACAAGGAAATGGGTTCCGTTTCTTTGTTGTGTTTGTCCAACTCGTGTCTTCTTAATGTAGGTGCACTAGAAAAAGGTGCATCACATGCAGGACACTGAAAGGATTTACAGTTCTGTTTGTCAGATTCCGCTGGCTTCTCTTTGACAGATAACAAATCTGGAGAAAAGGAGAAGAAACATATTACAGGCTGTACGTGGCATTGTTTTTTTCCTAATATACTAAGCATGTTATGGCATGGCATACTGTAGTACAGTAAAACAATATAAATAAAATCCACTGTGCACACACTTGCTTGTAATACTTGGTTAGATGCTATGATATGACTGGAAATATCATATATACATGCATATATCTCTATTCCATTTTTGTCATTATAGCATTGATTACCATAAAATAAGTCTCAGTGGGCAGTGTTCTCTAAGACTTATACAAAACAAAGTCGCTGGGCCTTGTTAGGTCGGGGTTAAAGGGGAAAAATGGATAAAGGAGGTGGACCCAAACGCAGTTAGACAGGAGGCAAGATCAGGGAAAGACAAAAGGCGAGCTTTATTAACTCAAAGCTGAATGCAAAAATCAAGGAGCATGAAACCAAAGACGTCCAAAGACCCAAAAAACAAAGTAGCAAAGAAAGCAGCAAGACAAAGTAGCAACAAAACCAGTAAGACAAAGTACAACCAAAAAGCAAAGTTCAAATCAAAAAATGCCAAAATGCAAAACTCAAAGTCCAAAAACACATACCAAGGAGAGACTGGAGACAAAAGGAGCTCTGGGAGGACAAGACGCAGACAGGAGCAGGAGCAGGAGCATGAGCAGGAACATGAACACGGACATGGACATGAGGCAAGATCTGAGCCTGACAGATACATACAATGATCAACAAGGAGTAAAGGGAAAACACAGACTGAATACACAGACGCTGATGAACAGATGAGGAACGGGTGAGGAGAGAGAGGAGGGAGGAAGCCAGGTGTGGTAACGAAGGGGAGGAGCACATGAGAAAACATGAAGGCAACAATACAACAGACAGAGGGAGACAGAGGCGAGAACATAGGAGAAACTTAAAGGACACAGAGGGTCACTGAAAATCAAAACAAAGACCCAATAAGACATGATACAAAGACATAAATGACAGGCCTTTGAGGCAACTGTATCAGGGCAAATATATTTTTTTCTCATGTTAATACATACTTGGGAGGAGTGTCTTACTCTGAAGAATCAACCCTGTCCATTGAGGGAAAAAAAAAACAAATTTCAGTAACTGTGTAACAGTTTCAAAATTATTATTATTACTTGAGGTGCCTAACAATATGTTGGAATAGTTATAAAAACTTGAGACCTTTTCAGTGAGTCAGCCATCACTATTAGACTAAGTAACATTGCTTCATCATGCCAAGGTACACTTATTCAAGGCCAGCTTTAAATTACTGGAACACAGAACACTGTGTTTTTGGTTGATCTTACCATGTTTTTTCAGATGATTTTCAAAAGAATGTTTTCTCTGTATAATGGATTGGCACTTGGGACAGTGCCAATGGCTCCTTTGTGCCAGCTTCACCTCACAGTGGCATGGTATGCTAAAAGTGTCTGTGGAAAGATGAAAACAAATGTGAAA